ATGTCCTTAAAACTTAAAATGAATTTCTAGTAGTAACATATAGTTGGGTCTTGTTTCCTATCTGTGTCTTTTTATTGGAAAATTTAAACCATTTACATTTACAGTAATTACTGGTAAGTAAGGATATATCATTGCCATTTTGTCCATTGTTTTGTGATTGTTTTGTAGCTATTTTGTTCCTTTCTTCCTTTCTTGCTGTCTTTGTGAGTTGATACCTTTTTTTGTATGCTTCAAATCCTTTCTCTTTATCATTTGTGTATCCATTATAGATTTCTGCTTTGTGGTTGACATTAAGCTTTCTTAACACTTTTTACTGTTATAACCATCTATTTTAAGCTGAAAACAACTTAATTTCAATTGCATGAAAAATTTTACCCATGTACTTGCCCTCACCAAAATTTATATTGCTGATGTCCCAATTTACCCCTTTTTTATACTGTGTATCTATTAATGAAGTACTGTAGCTATATTTATTTTTAACATTTTTGTCTCTTCACCTATATACTAGAGTTCCGTGATTTACATACTACTTAAAATAATAGTACATTTTGAATTTAACTATGTATCTTTATCATTGAATTTTACACTTCTATGTTTTCATGTTACTAACTACTTATAGTGAAGATTTATAAACTCCTCCCCAGCTCCCAAATATCTGATCTCCTCTCTTTCCTTTTACTAACAGAATAAAGGTTATAGATTTCAGCCTACTTCACATCATATGACCAATTTTTGACCAAAGGTATGTGAGGTGAAGTGATAAATACAAATTCCAGGCCATAGCTTTTAAAAAGAAAATTGCCATCGCCATCTTCTTTCATTATCACATGCACATGAGGAAACCTCCAAGGATGAGGATGAAAACAAAAAGAATCTGACTCCTCTATTTAATTTGCCAAGAACTTTAAAATCATCCACCAGTGCTGTGTTTCTATTAATTTCTCCTTATTATTCAATAATTATTTATCTATCTTTGCTCTAGTTTTTGACACACTTGTTATTACCTGTCTCATATAAAATAAACTTTGCTGTCCTGTTTTAAACATTTTGTTCTGTATTCATATTTTGTATGGTAGTAATGCTGTCTTCCTCACCTCTTTTGCTCTGGGAATAACATAACACATTGGCCAATTTGTTTACTTTCAAGCTTTCCATTTTGCTGTTTTAAGAGTCTACAGTATGTATCAGTTACTGAGATTTCTTTTAACCCAATCTGAGAGCCTCCTACTTTTAGTAGTATTTTATCCATGTAGATATCTTATTACTGAAACTGATCTGTTTGTTCTTGCTTTGTAATTAGCACTCCCAGGATTTTGTGCATCTTTGAAACCTCCTTGCTTTCCTACAGTAGTGATAGTTGAGAAGTTTTTCCACGAAAAAAATAAATGATTTTACATAGAATTTCAAAGGGTCTATAGTCTCTAAAGTTCATCCATGGATACCTATGATTCCACAGATCCCAATCTAAGGATCACTGTTTGGGTATTACTTCTACATTTTAAAACACATTAGTTGGACCACTATTTCTGTAACTGTCATTTTAGAAATGCAAGAATAAGGTAACATTAGGGAATCTGTCAATATAAATTTTAGTTTATTTTTTTAAAAGACCCACTTTGTTATAACTGTATATTATGCATCTTTCACCAAGAATTAGTTGTTATTTTTCAAAATAATAGTAGAGCAACTATTTATTTTATATAATTAACAGTTTGTAATATTTAATACAATTTCTCTGTACAATGTCATTTGCATTCTTCACATCTTGATCTTCCCTGGCCTGGCTGCTACTCCATGTACTTTAGGAAGGGTACTTGAGCAACATACATTCAGACCCTTATATACCTCAGAGTATGTCACTTTCACATATAGATGGCAACTAATAAGCATTCAGAAATTTTGAGTCGGAACCTTTTCTTCCAAATTTCTGTAGATGCTGCTTAGCTATCTTCTGGTTTAACATTCAAGAGAGTAAGTCTGAGTCCATTTCAATCCATTCATCAACAAATTCTAAGTGCACACTTACTATATCTCATGAGATCTAAGAGATGCTGACGATAAAATGAAAACAGTCCTGTCCTCACAGAACTTATAGTCTAGCTGAGGAAGGTAAAAATATGAAAATTGTAATGAAAGTAATTAAGCCTGATATGTGAGAAAATATGGAAAACAGAAAGAGCGTATTTTCCTTCTGTCTATACAGTCACTCCTCTCATATGTTAATCATGGAGGCTTGATAGTCAATGTAAATCATTTCCAGGTCACTGATCTATCAGTCTGAGATGAGACAGAAAAGAAACCCTCAGAAAAATATCACCTTTCTGTCATTTTTTTTTTCATGTTGGTAAATTCACTGCCCTAGAAGTCAGCTTTCTCTATACATGTGATTATTCTGGACACTGAATAAAAAACACTACAGGGTATATCCCCTATTTCCCTCCCATTGTTACTACAACATCATATACAAATGTCACCAGCTTTCCCCCATAATCCTATGCTGGCATACAGGAGAGAAAGGGATTCAAACTGCTTCTCGACTTTCCCTCCAAATTAGGTGCTCACAGAACCTCAACTTGGAGCCAGAGATACTTTATTTTATATAAAGGTGTGTAGAGAGTTAAAACTCTCCTTTCATCTATTCATATCTCCACCATGTTTTCTGCATGTTTTATGTGTGTGTGTGTTCCATGAGAATGCCCCTTCTTCTACCTAGCTTTTAGATTCAGTACAGGTATTCCCCTCATTTTAAAGTCTGCTGGTAATTTTAAATGGAATGGAAAGGAATTAGATCATGGTTTTCACTTAGCTATCTTTCTCAAGCACCAGACTCAGTCTTAGGGCCTTTACACCCTTTAAAGGAAGTGTCTGAATAACCCATTTTGATATTCTGTATAAACTTATACTTTAATAATTGCTTTAAAAATAAAGTAAAAAAAAAACTAAATAAATAAAGTCATAACAATGTACTATGTGATATATGCCAATGATAAATCTATATTAAGGATAGTAGAATTATAAATATATAAAAATTCCCTTAAATCACTTGTTTCAAATAATTGCTTTAAAACATAAAGGCCCTTAAATTGTTTTCCAAAAAAGTGTTCAACTGACAAGAAAATACTTTAGAAATACTATTAATAATCTAGACTTTCTAGTTTTCATTTTACTAGATCTGATCCAAAAAATCTGTTTTTTTCCCCCACACTAAGAAATTTAAACTCTTACTTCCTTTTACTATGCACCCACCGTATTATTGTAGAGAAAATGCCAAATAACCAACTTCAGATAATTTCATATTTTCATTCAGGCAAATCACAGGCAAGTTTTGTTAAGCATAAAACATAACATTTTTGTTAATTAGGTATTTTTAACTGTAAAAATACGAAGTTCATTAAAAAGCTACCAATGTAAGGCAAAAATCTCTTGAATATAAACATGAGCAACTTTTTCCTGAACACATCTCCTCAAGCAAGGGAAACAAAATCAAAAATCAACAAATGGGACTACATCGTGATAAAAAGCTTCTGTACAGCAAAGGACACTATCAGCAGAACAAAAAGGCATCGTACAGTATGGGAGAATATATTTGTAAATGACATATCTGACAAAGGGTTAACACCCAAAATATATAAAGAACTCACATGCCTCAACACCCAAAAAAACAAATAACCCTATTAAAAAATGGGCAGAGGATATGAAGACAATTCTCCAAAGAAGAAATTCTGATGACCAACAGACACATGAAAAGATGCTCCACATCACTAATTATCAGGGAAATGCAAATTAAAACCACAATGAGATATCACCTCACACCAGTTAGAATAGCCAACATAGACAAGAATAGAAACAACAAATTCTGGCAAGGATGTGGAAAAAGGGGAACCCTCCTACACTGCTGGTGGGAATGTAAACTAGTTCACCATTGTGGAAAGCAGTATGTAGGTTCCTAAAAAAACTAAAAATTGAAATATCATTTGACCTAGGAATTTTACTCCTAGGAATTTAACCTAAGAATGCAGGATCCCAGTTTCAAAAAGACATATGCACCCCTATGTTTACTGCAGCACTATTTACAGTAGCCAAGATATGGAAGCAACCTAAGTATCCATCAGTAGATGAATGGATAAAGATGATGTGGTACATATACACAATGGAATATTATTCAGCCATAAGAAGAAAACAAATCCTACCATTTACAACAACGTGGATGGAGCTAGAGGGTATTATGCTCAGTGAAATAAGCCAGGCAGAGAAAGACAAGTACCAAATGATTTCACTCATCTGTGGAGCATAAGAACAAAGCAAAAACTGAAGAAACAAAATAGCAGCAGAATCACAGAATCCAAGAATGAACTTACAGTTAAAGAAGGGAAAGGGACTAGGGAGGGAGAAGGGGAATAAGAGGCATTATGATTAGCACACATAATGTAGGGGCAGGCACGGGGAAGGCAGTATAGCACAGAGAAGACAAGTAGTGATTCTATAGCATCTTACTTTGCTGATGGACAGTGACTGTAATGTGGTGGGTACTTGATAATGGGGGGAATCTAGTAACCACAATATTGCTCATGTAATTGTATATCAGTGATACCAAAAAAAAATGTAAGTGCCATTTCTGAAGAGTTAAAAATTAAAATATAAGTTTAATTTCTTCATCCACTAAGAAAAAAAAAAAGCTACCAATGTAGGCCCAAACAGAACTATCTAAACATTCAATGTTTACATTCTTATATTTTGAAAACTTGTATCATTAATGTTCCTGTGTAATGCTGAATTTTTTCACATCCAAATTTACATATATTTAACACATCCCAGATAACTTCCTTAGTTACAACCTCAATTTCTTATATCTAAAGAAATATTTATTAACTAAAATCCAATGTGCATGTTTGTCACATTCATTAAGGCCTGGAGAGTTGAACACAAGCAAAAATAAGAAGCTGACAGGGTCAGACAATTCCAAGATCCACTGAAAGCCAGCAGTAAGCATGGGGTCCTACCTTCAGGGGGTAAACTGTAGAGCTGGGCCACAGGTCCAGTCACAGGAATAACTGGTAACTGGAAATGAAAAGAGCTTTTAATCGTTGGGAGTGGCAGGCGATTTTTAGGAAAACACTTCCTCATTATCAGACTGGACGTGTTGACAAGAGGATCAAGGGTCCTGACTGCCAAACATTCCTGTATTTTTAAAAGAAAAAAAAGAAAAGATAATGTGCCTTTGGTGACTAACTGAAAAGATTTTATATTCCTTCAGAAAGCAATACAATAGTAATTATCAAGAAACAAATATCATAAAAACCAATATGGTAACATAATTATAAAATAGCTTTGACTACTCAAGAGTCTCTATAAGTAAGAACCTCACACAAAAAATTTAGTAATACTCTTCCTTAAACATACTAACACAGCAGAAATCAGTACCATCTTTGGTACCAAAAATCACCAAAGTACAGTAGTCTCCTCCTTATCCATATTTTCCACAGTTTCATCTAACCATGGTCAACTGCGGTTTACAGAACTAGGATCCCTAACTCAAGTTTCAGTTTTGTACCCTATTCAAAAATGCTCTATCCAGAAGTAAGACACTGAGAACACTCACAAACAGCACAACTGCCTCATCAGTTGTAAAGGATCCACAAATACCTTATGATGCGAACATGCAAAACTGAGTACATCTTAGAAAACATGGCTATAATAAGGAATCCCTTCCCACCCACAAGGTGGACCTACACATCCCCCTTCTACTTACAGGAAAAAAACTCTCATATTGCAGAAATGTGCACTAATTACTTCTTTGACTCAGTCTGAGGTCACATGTGATAAATGATTGTCCATTTTGGTTTTCAGATATTTTAAAAAGATATTTATCATAAATTTTTTAGTATTTTTAGACAGACTTTTATTAAAAACAAATCATCACATTAATATATAATCACAATAGTAGAAAGAAAATTAAAAACTCACTTGTGAAGTATTATAGAGAATTTTCATACCATTGGCATCAATAAATGCTTTTCTTCCCAACTTGATGTTGGTAACACTTTTTAAACTCTGTAAAATTCCTTTCCGAATGAGCATGTTTCTATGTCGATTATCATGGCGATGCCAATCTACATAAATTGATAAAAGGACTTGGACATATCCTCTGTCTACAGCTCTCCTGGCATTTGTTTCTTTAATAAAAGAAAATTGAGAAAGAGTAGTTTTTTTAAGTAACAAAAGAAAGTGGTATAATAAATCAAATTAAAACTATAATCACAAGATTGAAATGATTATAATTCTTTTTTTAAAAAAAAACTATATGTGTGTGTGTGTATGGCAACCACATTAAAATTTTTTATCTAAAAAAATAAGTATGACAATTTGCACATGGCAAATTACAACATTTTCCAGAAACCTGCCCATATACTGTTTGTAGTTAATACATACCAAGGTATCTATAATAAAATTAGGGCTACTTACTTTTAAATATTAGTGCTAACAAAAGTTACATGTATTTTAAAATTTATGAACATACTGACTTTGTAAGTCTTTAATCTACTGGCTGTGAATATGATTTTGTTAAAGGTCATTATCACTACTGTAACTTCTATTGCAAACTCTGTATGTTTTCACTGAAATTAACTCCACTGGACTGTAAACTATTACAAACTTTTTAATTGCTTTAATTACCCCCATTATATAAAAATCTAGGCCATAACAATGCTAAATTAAAAATACTTACACAACTTTTAAAGAAATGAAATGTAAGGAGTATTATATGACATGATTAGAAAATGGAGCTTTCTGGTCATTAATTTTTTTAATGTAATGAAAACTATATTAAAGGTTTTCTTAAAATGGTCAATTTTATTGGGGTCGAATTAACAGAAATAAATCCACAAATTTGATCTAATTTTTAAAGTATTAATATTTAAGATTATTAATCAAAAGGGTGTATTTCACTCAAATGGCAGCAAGGGAATCATATCATAGCAACATTCTGAGCTATGTTGCCCACATGGGTGGGCAAATTTTAAGAGTGCAAAATAACACGGAATACTAAAAGATTTGGGGTGGCTTAATTATCAAGGAATACCAATCTCTTCCTAGTCTAAGTTTACCTATGAAATGACCCCGTCTCAAGGCATGGACACTAAGATAATGCAACTCTAAGGTTGCCCTGCATTTAGTTGCCTGAAAGAATTATTACAGTTTCCAAATGTGCTCATATATACCTAAAACATAAAGACACTGAGATAAAAAATAAAATAAAAGGTATTAATGCCCTCTCAGAAATTATGTTCTGATACTAGAAACCTGGAAGAAACTCGGGGGTCGGGGAGAGGCTTTCTTACATAAAAGTTTCAAAATCTCTGTGTGTCTAGAAGAGCTAGGTTGCTAAGGCTCTGACTATTTACAAAATCAGTTCAATAGTTTTGGCTAACAATAGTTTCATGTATTTTAAATAAATATTTAAATGAGTTTGTTTATACCTGCTGGAATATACAGGCCTTTAGCTTACTAGCTGTAAATATGATTTTCTTAAAGGATATTATGATCATTGTGATTCCTCTTATAAGCTGTATTTCCACTAGCACTCCCAATAACCTAAATGGTATTCACAAGAAATATTTATTCTTTATTAAGGATCAAATAAGAAACTTGGCCATAATTCAAAAACAGAGGTGCTGAATGACCCTCAAGAGAAGTGAACAGAGCTACCTGCAATCTAGAACTTAGCACAACTAATTAGTTTAGTAAAGGGGTTTTCATTCATGTGTTCAGGACACCTAACTCACAAGGACCCTACGGCTCTTCTTCCCTCTCTACTTAAAAGACAACTCGGGTTTCTCTTTAGACTGCAGCATCTAATCTATAAACTGGCCAGCAATGGCAACTAAGCTACCTACCTGTCTTTCTGCTCTGTGTGTATACACATATTCTTTGCTTTATACTCTCGAGTTTATTATAGTAGTCCAATTTATTCTTTTAAAGTAGATTACTGTTCCCCCACAAAAAGCAGTTTTAAAAAAAATGAATGAGAATGCTTCAGCATGCCATAGTGCCTTTAAAAATACTGTAGGTGTAATATTTTGCATTATTAAATTTTATCCTAGTTAATGCCATATGCCACATGAAAACATATAATATATAAAGCAGAGTCATTCTACTTGTTAGTTACATTTTTACCTGATGAAGTAAAGAGATTGTTTGCCCACCGTCTTCATTTGAAGAAGAAGAGGGACAGAGTGAAAGGAAGACTACTATTTTTAAAACTGAAGACAGTAGATTTCAGTCATCTTTGGTTAACTGATTTCTATAAAATACTTGAAACTTATGAGTTTGGGTTTTTACTGATAGAATTAGTGACTTTGTCATCAATGTCTGAAAATGAGTAACCTTTAACAAAAGTTTAGTTTTAACAGCTATTTTAATCTACTCTAAATCTAAAATATATGCCTATGCTAATTTAAAAATTGTTAAATACTTTGAACCACAAAGTCAGGGCACATCAAAGCAAAGCTAAAAATATCTTTTAAAGATAATTCAGGTATTCTGATCTTGGTCTAAAATTTACCACATCATATAGGAAAACATGGGCTACATGGGCTAATCTAATTGAGTATCACGCATCTCATTTTAAGGACAAAACTACTAATTGAATTTCATGTATTCTGGTATATAATATCAATACCTAAGGTGATTTTTTATATTTAATAAATCAAATAATCAGATTTTCAATCAATTAATCATTTGCTACTATTCAAATAAACAATTCTGGTCATTTAAGGCAAGTTGGTATTACCCTTAATAGACAGTTTGGGAGAAAAATAACATTGAAACCATCAACACATACATATCTTTAAGACTAAATGTTATCCTGATTATTTAAGATGTTAACTGAATCAACCAATGGACATGGGAATGCTTACAAAAATATTTTTAAAAGATGCTGAGCATCTTAAGAGGCAAAAACACATAATGTACATGATTACTCTCCAAAATCATCATATATAAGACACATTTATACTCCAATGCTTCAATGTTGAAGATAAAGAAAATAATGTTTTCATTTTTATAAAGGAATATAACAAACTGTAAATTTACATTAATAGTAATTTTTAATGTTATACGTTTGAATTTATGGTAGAAACAGAATTTCTAATAAAAGGGTTTTAAATGAAAATCATGTATTCATATAAAGACAGAAGTTATTCAAAATATTCTTCATAATAAAATGTTCTCAATACAATGTTAGCTTCACTCTCAAAAAATAGTACTTAATATACATGTTACTTTCCTCCATTAACAGGGAATTTTATGTAAATTAATTAGAAAAAGGAAGTCAATGTACTTGAATAAGCTATATAAATATACTGAATAAATTATAGCTCAATAAGCATAAATGTCATTAGTTATGACATGTATCAATAAATCGCACTAAAAGATAAAATCGGTTTTGATATTAAATTATCATAAACCATAGACTAAATTGCCATTTCCAGTTTCTTTAGCATAACGGAATACTCAAAAAAATAGTATCTAGTATTTCTAGTAGTTAAAACTTACTTGATTTTAGCAATGCAGCAAGAGTGTCTAAAGCAACCCTGTCAACATGAGAAAACACAAACAACAACAAAACTAGTAAAATCAATCTACAACAGTAAATTCATACAATCTTTTCAGATAGGTTATTATTATCTATTCCAAAAGTCATTCTCATACAGTCAATTATGTATAGTGTCTCTCTGGACGCATCTCTCCCTTCAGGTTAAAATCAGGTATGAGTATGAGAAAGACTGAAATAACAGCAGACAGAACAGGACCAAAAAAATCATTTTTTAAGGAAGAAAAATAAAACTAACAATGTCTAAGTCTTTGTATTGGAAATTAGATGAATGGAATCAATTATTGTACCTGTATCTGACCCTGACAGAGTTCACAAAGGACCACTATTAAGAATCTAGGCCCTGACTCACAAATTAAAACCAAAAAAAGTTTTCCATAGAAATAAAGTTCATAACTACAAGTTCTGTAAATATTCATAGCTATCTAACTTTTAAGTATTTTAGCTTATCAAGAAATAAATAATCCTAATATTTAAAGACTAACAAATAAATGTAAAACAGTTTTGAACTAGGAGGTTTGTGGAGATGCATGGGCCCTTAACATTTTTTCAACCATAAGGCATCAAAGAGAATAATGAACCTAATTAATATCTCAAAAACTCTTACTGTTCAATAGATGACAAAGAATAGCAAAAAAGTTTAAAGTACTTCTATTTTCTTTGAACATAAATATTCAGTTACACACAAAATCAACTGCCATTAACAGGCTTTAAAAATACACATAAAACATCACTGTGGAAAATCGTCTATTCAAATTGTTATTCAAATCGTTTAAAAAAATTACTGAAAATTCAAATGGTACTTAACTAAAAATATAAGACAACATACTATAGTACCTCTTAATAAGATTTCAACAATCATAATTAATCTGCAAAGATAAACATTTTCAGGCAAACGTAAGCATTTTACTCATCATTCAGCATTTGTTGAATGCCTACTAGACGGCCACAGCAGCAGGTTCTTCACAGGTATAAAATTAGAAAGCTAATTTATCTCCTACACAAATAATTTTACAACGTATACAGTGTAATAAAATGTACCCATCTATAAAAACCCCACTCAAGAAATTAAAACCAAAAACAAGGCAATGAAGTAAAAGCTGAATATATCAGTGTGAAGGAGACACAGCATAGCCAGATGTGGGGAAAGGTAAACAGCATAATCAATTAGAAGATTTAAGATGGATATTAGTTTAAGATGGATACTGGTTCGTAGCAAAACCTGAAACAATAATCCAGCATGAGGCACACAGCAAGTGCTCATTTATAAGAAATGCTGATTACTCTTATCCTCTAGAACAGGTGGTTAACAGTTACACTTTGGTTTATTGAAACAAATGAAGCAACCACATAAACCTCATTAACATCTGTAAAATAAAAACAAAAGTATGTGCTTTAAAAAGTATTATAAATTTATACCCATAACACTCAAGATAATGTGAAGTTCTGGTAAAGTTGAGTTAAAAGCAAATGAAAATTAGAAAACTATATACCAAATTTTCATAGCACTCAATCATCAGTAAGAAACTAACAATCTTGTAATTACGCGTAAATTATACTTAAGATTATAAAACTATCAGAATAAGCATGGATTTTAATTTGCTCAAAATTAAACACATAACTAAAACATCTTCCAAGTGAAATGGCAATTAACAAAAAATAAAATGAAAAGAACACTATTGTTCAGCAAGACCTGATAAATGCCAGAAACTGTTATAGGTGCCTTGTATGTATGTTTTCTAGGTTAATTCTTAAAAAACAATCCTGGTCTACAGAATTGGCACATTTATGAATAAGAAAACAAAGTATTTCAGAATATAATGTGCCTAGGGTCGCATAAAAACTACGTAATATAGCAAATCAGTAACATAAGCCTTCCGCTGAGACAGAGTATTATGAAATCATAAATGTCAGTCTCCTCCAAAAAGATGTTAAAGGCCTAACCCCCAAGACCTCAGAATGTGATCTTATTTGTAAACAGGGTTGCTGCAGATATAATTGGTAATATGAGGTCATACTGGAGTACGTGGCCCTTAACCCATCATTACTAGTACCCTTTAAGAAGAGGGAAGGCTTTTAGAAGACAGACATGCAAGTAGAGAAAACTGTATGATGGAGACAGAGTTTGAAATGCTGCAGCTACAAGTCAAGGAACACCAAAGTCTGCCAGCAAACACCAAAGCTAGAAAGGAGAAGCAAGAAACAATTCTCTCACAGGTTTCAGAGGGAGCATTGGCCCTGCTGACAAGTTTATTTTGGACTTCAAGCTTCCAGAACTGAGACTACAATAAATTTCTGTAATTTATACCACCAAATTTGTACTACATACTTTGTTACTACAACAGCCCTAGAAACTAATACAATCAAGTTAGATGCAATCACAATGAACACAGGATTCTCCCAGCTAAGAATTCAAAATAATAAACATCTGAGTACTTTCAGAAAGTCTTACTCCCTGCTGTTGGTTTGTTGTGACACCTAGGAACCAAATAAAAGTGCTTCTGACAGTTTCTAATACTTAAACTACATGGTTTTTTGTTGATGTTTATTATTATCATTGGCAAACAGAGACATGAACCCATCTAGCTCCACTAAATTAGAAGAAATTATGAAGTTTGGTGCAGTCATCTCGACATTTTTACCAAAATGTTACTTAAAAGATATTTTTAAAAACATCAGCACAAAAGAATTCCTAAAATTCTAAACTTATAAGCCAGTATGATTTTATAATAGAAAAGGTATGAAAGAATTTAGAATAGACTGAAATGCAGTTTATATTGTTAATTTTTTAGAATTTCTTAGTATCAGTATTTTACACTTCTGGACATAATTTTCCAATCCCCTCGTGTCCTATACATATATGTGTGATACAGAACAAGCCATACAACTAACAATGGCTTAAAAAGCAGCCTCCCGCTTACTCAAGAGCAGTGAAGGAGGAAAAGCTTAAGGCCCTGGTCCTCATGAAGTGACATCTCCTTTAAGCTGGAGGTTAACCCTTATGAGGAAACTCAAGAAGACTTACAATAACTTTGAACTGTTTCCTTCTGGATTATCAGTGTTTGTCCAAAACTTCAAACTAGAAAGGAAAGTAAACACTAAAGGGAAACATTACCTTTTATCCCTCAATTTTCTTCCACTAAATGCAGGGTACTGTTTAAGTGGAAGAACTGTGAGACAACTATTTTAGATACCAAATTTTATCATTAAGGGAGAGACCTAAGATTATTACAAATGATAAAGACATCAGGATATAGATGTTTGATCGGTGAATGTTTTTTTCTTTCTAAAGTAACAATAAAGTTTTAAATTTATTTTTCTATTTAAAACATAGAGAAAAGAATGAAGGAATAATTTGGAGAACTACTTATCAGTAGTTTAGACCCACTGATTTCTACATGGTTTTAGATATATACCATGTTGTATATTATATAAATGCTTGTGAAATGTCCCACTTCTATGAACATTTCTTATTAGATTTGGTAACTTGGTCAAAATAGAGTAATGTAGATCTTACATAGGAAATCATAAACACAAAAGATTGATTATAAAGTACTATAAATATCAAGAGGAGAATATAAAGACTATTATTTTAGTATAGCTAGGATTCATTCATAACATTTACATTACTTACCTACACTAATTACAGTAATTATTAGTTTGCACTATATAGGCATTGTGCTAATGACAGAAATCATTAAATCTCACAACAACCTTCTGGTGTACATGCTAATATCACCATTTTTCAGACAGGAAACTGGAGCATAATCAGTTAGGTAACTTATTTCATATCATGGAGCCAGTAAGTGACAGAGTTAACATGCAAATCCAGTTCTGCCTGCCTCCAGAGCTCACTCATTACACCATACCAATTCTGTAAACTGGTTTTACTAATTGTGATACAATCATTTTCTGTCTTATTACATTTCCTCAGATGCTCTAGGACTGTATATAATCTTTGCAAAAGTAATGTTAAGTCATCCCACCAAATAATATTTAGTAAGCAATTATATATGCAAGTAAACTACCATTTTTAAGAAAGGTACAAGCTAAAATATTTGACCTTTACGAAGAAGAGTGAAAAGGCTAGAAATGTTCTAACCTTACTTGCTTGCAACATTTAATCAAGTACATGATGTGGACAGGTTTTTCCTTATAAAAGAATCTAGTAAGAGAAAAAGAATGAGACAATTAGAAAAGTCACTGTTTTGCAACCCCTAAAGAAATAATCGATCTGGAAGTGCCATGAAATATTGCCATATTATTAAGTGAAAAGTAGATGGATTATCTCAACTAAATGATCTTAAGTGGTGCAAAACAGAGGACCCAGCACCACCAGTCTAGTCTCTCAATCTATAGGAAATTTGAAGGATATACTTACATGTTAAATGACCCTAGTATACAGTCATCTTAATCTGGAAGGTTGGGATATTCTACAAGACATCAACTAGGTTCCTCAACAAATAAATAAAACAACCAAAAACATAGGGGAGCTCCTATGGATTTTGAAAAATTGTAAGACATGTCAATCAAAACGAATGTATAGACCTGACTGGATTCTGATTTGAACAAGCCAACTATAAAAATGACACTTTCTAGACACTCAGAAAATATT